GTGGATGACGCTTTTCTCCACTAGCCCTCAGTGTCATGCTTCCCAACAAAGTGTTCTTTCTAATTTACTGGCTTCTAGCGGCTTGGTAAGGTTTAGTGAAAATTTCATTTGACCAAGAGTCAGAAGATTTTCTCCAGATGCTTGGATTTCCCAAGGTGTGGCAGGGGCTACAGCCCAGGGCGAGGTGAGGCCACACAGACCAGGTTGTGGGCACCCTGTTCTACTGCCCCCAGAGCCTTGCTTTATCTGTTTTATCTAAGAAGCAAGCCTCCAAAGTTGTTCCCTTCTGGACAAACCTAAGGTTTGTCCAGAAGGGAATGGGGCGGGGATAATAAAGCCCCTGGAAATATATCAAGATAGAAGAAATAGAACTTATCTGAACTTCTCCCCTGAAAAACAATACTGGATGAAGCTGGTAGAAATAACCTGCCAGGGGTAGGGGCTGAGAGCTTCCTCTGCCCCCTCCTCCCTAGGAGGCTACATGCTCAAGTAACCCTGATGGTTGCTTCAATGCCTCCCAAGCTGAGTGGGTCCACTTAAATACAAGGCTTTCTTTTGCCCATCTGGCTGACTTCTATCATCAGCATTTGATTTTTCACTTTCATATGGGCAGCATTTAGCTTCCTCTTAAAAATTGTTGAATAAGGGGCCGGCCTGGTGGCATAGTGGTTAAATTCGCATGCTCTGCTTTGGTGGCCCAGGGTGCGCAGGTTTGGATCCTGGGTGCAGACCAACGTTAAGCCATGCTGTAGCAGGCGTCCTGCATATAGGGCAGAGGAAGATGGGCATGGATGTTAGCCCAGGGCCCATCTTCCTCAGCAAAAGCAGGAGGGTTGGCAACGATGTTAGCTCAGGGCTAATCTTCCTCACACACACAAAAAAGTTGTTGAATAAGTATTTAAAGACTATCACTGTGCAGTGGGTACTGAATTAGTAGCCCGAAGAAGGGTTTCTGCAGATGTGAGTTCAATCCTGGTTTTAAGTATTTACATTCCACACTGAAGTATGTAGGAATAAAGGGGCATCATGTCTGCGACTCAGTTTTTAGGAAAAAATCGTATGTGTATATTTACACGCAGACGAATATACACACACAGAGGAAAGGAGTATAAAGCAAATGTAGTGAAATGTTAGCATTTGGGGAATCTGGGAATTCCTTGCACTCTTCTTGCAATTTTTCTGTAAGTGTAAAATTAAAGATTCAAAAAAATAAGTTCCCAAACTTGATTTTTTAAGGAAAAAAATTAAAAATTGCTTGAAAACTTAGTCAATATCTGGACTAGATAATGTAAAATGCCCCCTCACAGTTCTGTAATTATATATTTCCTTGATCATGTGAGTCTAGATTCATCCATAGACCAACTTATCAAGTGGGGTGTTTATCTCTTCCTTAACTTTTTTTTTTTAGGTTTCAGAATAGACTGGTATAGATATATTTGGAGAAATAACATAAAATAAAAATCAGTCATATGACATATCATTTTGTCACTGTTCCCGCTGAGTTGCATTTGCCTCAAAGACCCACTGTAGTTTTGCAACATCATGTGTGGATGTTGAAGGCTGCTTGAGAACTTGATTCATTTATTTACAAATTTAAGGCAAATGTAACACATTTCCAAATACCGTAATTCGTCAGTTAAAATGCATGCTAGAGGATATAATTTATTTGCAGGGCGATAGACAAGAGTCTTAAAATGATCAGTAAGGAAAGAGTCTGACAGTAACTATGAATAGAAATAATGTGAATTGTCAAGGTAATTTTAACGGAGCATTAAACCAAAAGGTGGTTCCTGAAAAATCAAAAATTAAATTCCAGTAAATAGCAAAGAGTAATAGCAGATTAAAAAGTGACTAAATTAGCTTTTAATTAAAAAAAAAAAAGTTAAAAGTACTGAAAAGTCCAATTCCTACCACTTGTGTTATGGATCTCTTTTAAGATAATGTCTCAGCTGTTGGGATGGGAGATTGGCTTCCAAGTCCATTAACCTTCTCCACATTTCCCTTCTTTTAAGTAACCAGGTTAAAAAAAAAAAACACTCTGAAAGTCAGTATATGACATTTTTTCAGAATGGCAAATCAAAAAGAAAATAAATTATATATTTTGATAGGAGAACTCTATTTAGAAAAATATAAGCACAATTTTCACATTTGATACCTTTGAACAACCTTTAAGGGTAACTTTCAGGGGGCTTCTGAACCAGACTTCCTGGCTAGCAATTCCTTTTTGGCGTGCCTATCATATTTCTGACTACTTCAAACTGCTCTTCATTAAGACTTCTCATTTTAGCTGTGAAATGAATGCAGTTCCCTAATGAAATAATGACTAAAACTCCTTGTTTGATGCTTGAGAACAAACAGTCATGCTGATGCATGCACACAATATCCTCAAGGTTTTCCAAGCCTGACATTATCTCTTCATAAAAAAAATTTTTTTTGAGAAAGATTGGCCCTGAGCTAACATCTGTACCAATCTTCTTCTATTTTGTATGTAGGACACCATCACAGCCTATTTTGTATGTAGGTCCGTGCCCGGGATCTGAACCCAGGAACCCCGGCCGCCAAAGTGGAGAGTGGGAACTTACTACTAGGCCATGGGGCTGGCCCCTCCATAAAATTTTTGGGTGGACATCTTGAAGTCAGAAAACATTGGTACAACGAGGCACTTAGTTCTAAGAAACTGCAAATCTAGATACTTGGCGTTCAGTACAATGGATACCAAGGCAATCAGAATTGGATATGAAAATTGGTTACTAATTTTGGTCAGGAAGAAATGAGGTAAAGAAGCAATGACTAACATCGAGAGGGTCCCCAAGAGTTATGAACAGAGCACAAAGCAGTAAATTATGGGACAACATTGCGACAGGTTCCTCAGATTCTGTTGTGATTATTTGTCAATAGATTTAGGTTGGAATGATTTTGTTAAGCTAATTTTTTAAAATTAAATTTTAATGTAATTATTATTTTAAAATACAGTCTTTTTTCCTCTTTAAATTACACTTTGATTTTGTGCTGATGTGGAGAATTTGTTTAGATAAGGAATTAAGCACTTTTTCCTTGACCATTTTGGCTCCTCTTTCTGTGTGGCTCTCTTGATCAAGAGGTCCTTGTCCTGGTTAGCCATCTCTTTAGTTCACCTCAGTTTCTCCTCTAGATAACAGTTTCCCCTCAGCAATGTCCAACTCTGGACTTTCTTCTACCCACCCTAGAAATCTGTGCCAAGCCAGAAAAAGAGAGAGAATTTGGAAATTAAGAAGAAGTGACTAGAGGATATTTTTGAGAGATTAGGGCTAGTTTTTCATAGGCACCTTGAAATTTCTTTTAGGTTTAGAGTCATGCACAATTTTTAACATTTGCTGGTTTCAATTACTATAAACTGTTGTAGGAAAACAAATCTTCCAATATGCCTTTTATTTGTATTTAGATTTTTCCCCGTTTGGAAAGAATAGAAGGAACGATAAAGGCAGGATGAATCAGCTCAAAGTCACTGACGTCATCTGACACTATAACAGGACAAGGAATTAAGAAAGGAAGTCATATAGTTTTAAGTCCAAATTTGAGTCCATTGAGATTGGTGGGGGATGGGAGGAGAGTTCCCTTACACTTAGGAAGATCCAATGGTAACCTTAAATTTGGCGATAAATGTAGCATTTCTAATTGTAGATCTGTAATCCAGACTCCAAAAACATAAAGTTTAGAGATCTCTTTGCCCTTCACTACAGTTTTTAATGCCCCAACTTTTGTGTCTTCTCCAAGTGGGAAACTTGTTAATACAGGAGCTGCTCGGATAACAACTTTGACCAACGTGTAGCCGCTGAGAGCTTGTACTCTCCACTTCTCTCCCGTTTACAATTTATAGCTGAGTAATTAGAGATGTGGGTCAGCAAATGCTTGCATTTTCCAGCTCATCTTAGAATTGAATTTGCAAAGAAGGTATAATTATTAAATTACTTGCCGCTTAATCCTTTCTGTTTTCCCCAAAGATTTTTTAGCTAGCAACTAGCTTTCTGGACAAGGGATCAGAGCCCGAAAGTAGCAGAATCAACATCATTTGCCTAAACAAGGAGATTGAATTCACTCTGTTGAATGGACTCTGCTTTCTTTGTGCTATGAGACTCTGCAGTGTGGAGTGTTCTACATCCTCTGTCTGCCAGTTCTGGTAGAACTGCTCATTATATATAAAAAGCTTCTCCATCCCATTTTCAGCTTCCGTTTTTTTCCTTTTAACAGAAATGCTGGCATGCAACTTAAGTCCAGGAATAGCTGAGAGCTGATACCCTCAATTTATTCATGAGAACTACATTTCTCTCCTCTTTGGAAATATTCTCTCCCAATCTCTGTAATCATGACCTCACAAGAGAGAGGTGATTTCAATTACACATGTAGCTTTGTAGAACATATATGAAGGAGCATATTTCACACCAACAATACGTACTCACATTCTAAGCCATAAGAGTTATATTTATCTATAAGAACATCTTTTCTCTTAAAAAGGAAGGATTTGTATGTAAAGCCCAGCTCCAGTATATTAAAATGCATGTCTGTATATGTCTTAGGTTGAAAAGGTTTTCAAATAATGACTATAACTTCTAAGAATGGTAAAAAATAATTTGTACACAATTTTCATGTTGGAAAATCACTAGCAAGAATTATAAAATATATTGAAAAGAACCCAAGAGAGTTCTTGAATGGTCTGTTATTTCTCAGCATATAATACTATTTCTGAATCTTTTTTCTCAGTCAGTTTTGAAAATATAAACATCATTTTTCCTTTACAGAGAAATGATCAATTAATTTACCTGTTGAAATGAGCAAAATCGGAGTAGAAACATGACCTCTGCATTTATTTTGTTAACAGTCTGTATAAACCAGTTATGTATTTTCAAAAGAATACTTTCTCCACCTTGTATTTAACGAAGTATAAAACTTCCATCCTTAGCATGAGCACATGTGCCCAATTCCCTGCTTTATCACACAATATCCTGAGAGTGGTGTTTACTTACAGAAGCGCAATTTTCAGATTTGTCTTCCACAAAACCAATTTGGCAGGGCGTCCTCTGATTCTGCAGCCAGTAGTCTGTGGACTCCAGCAAGCTATTGCTGCGAAGAACCTGAGGGAACCGAGAAAAACTTCTCAGTGCTATTCGGCAAGGTTTTCTATTTAAACAAGCACCTCCTTTCTGAAGAAACCGTAGGTGTTTTCTTTTCCTCAGAGCATCTGGATACGAGAAAAAACTTGCAGGATAATAGTACCTCTAGAAAGTGTAAAATATTCAACCAGGAATTGGCTTTAAAGGCATACATTGATGTTAATACTGATGTTTCTTCTCTCATCAAATCCAACATCTGCGAACTTCAATGTATGTGCGACTTTTGCATAATTTGCAGTCAAATGATTTTTTGGGATATGCTTCAATTGGCAATGGAGACAAAACTTCACTTTAGTGTTAGAGTTTTTTCACACTCTACTCTTTTCTATTTTAAAAAATGTAGTGTTTTTCCTTTTGGTGTAATTTCTACTGAAATAGTGATTCTTCAGTTCTTCAACTTTGCTAACATATCTGTGAAACAGGGTACTATTCTTCTAGAACATCTAGGTACTATGTTAAGCTTAAAAATTATTAGGAATAAATAAAGTGCATTACAATAATCGTTTTCCACGTAGAAACAGTATGGTAAAGCAAAATGAATTTGAATACATGAATTAACAAAACCAAACATGATTTACAAATGCCTTGTTTCTGGGCTTAAGTTTTAAAGCAAGGAAGAACAATCATATTTCTGAGCCAAAACATTTTGAAGATGCAATCTCATAGACAACCAGGTGACTCAACTTCTAATACGTCTTAACACTACCTAAATATTGTATACGATTTTTCTCATTTTATATAAGATTACCAATGCTCTCCCAGCACCCTCTACTTTATTAGGGTACATGTCTGCTAATACTTGACTTCTACCTTGACTTAAGCAATATAACATATTTAATCAGTTGAGTTAATGCCACAAAAATAGAACGACGCTTCAATTACATTTCACTTGCACAATGAAAGATTGTCTTCTTTTATTCTATAAAGGTGAAAATACATTAATTTTTGTCTATGAATATTGAGTTAACCAAATAAAAATCCGACACATTTTTCTATATCATTTTTGTTTTCGCTGAGTCATATTATTACTTTTATATCTTTTCCCACTCAATGTTTATTATTACATAGAGATGACAAATTTTCATCATTCTTTCTGCTCCCACTGCAATTCTCTTTCATTACCAGCATAGAAAAGAGTTAAGAGCATGGGCATTAGTGATCTCATTGCATTGAAATTCTAACTTGATCATTAGTAGCAGGAAGTCCTTGGGCAACTGACTTAAATTCTGAGTGTCAGTCTCTACACCTGTGAATGGAGATAATCAGACTCACCCGGTGGGATCATTGGGGTATTCAGTGAGATGATACATGTCAAACATTGAGGCACACAGATGGTAGGATCCTCTCAATACATGGTTTTCCTTGTTACTATTCGAAATGAACTACAAAGTAAAATAGAAATTGGATGCCTTTGCCTGAAATTAGTGGACTGAAAGCATTTCAGATGTGTGAAGACAAATTTTCTTTAGCAAATATTCTGATCTAAGGTGGAATTTTAGTTCTGCATGTAGTAGCATTAATAGTTAAAGCTACTATTTTTTTTGAAACTCTTTTTTTTTTCCCGCTGGGAAAGATTCACTCTGAGCTAACGTCTGTTGCCAATCTTCCTCTCTTTTTTCCTTTTGGTTGTAAATCCCTCTGGTTCTTCTATGTGAGCTGCTGCCACAGCATGGCTACTGACAGACAAGTGGTGTAGTTCTGTGCCCAGGAACTGAACCCCTGGCCGCCAAAGCGGAGCGTGCTGAACTTTAACCGCTAGGCCATCAGGGCTGGCTCACAGCTACTATTTTTTGCATGCTTAGAATGTACTGCGAAATGTGCTAAAATTTTCATATATTTACTTTTTTTTACTTTTTAATTTAACCCTCGTTGCAATGCTATAAGGTAGGACTCATTTGAAAGATAGAGATCTTCACAGAAATTGTCATTTTGGAGATGAAGACCTTGAGGTTCAGAGAGATTTGAGTTTCTGCCCCAAGTTGCTCAGAGCTTGACTTTGGACTTGGTTTGGAAGACACAAGGCCTGTGAGTGAAATCATTTAACAACGCTGCTTTCCATAAGCCAAACAAAAGGTCTGACTGGGGGTGTGTTTCTGAAAAGTTATGTGTATTTAATTTTTGTAACTATAACTACATTTTCTTATGGACTTCCATATTAAAGTTAGTTTTTCATTAGTGAAATTCTAAGGTGACATTTTTCTTTATGGAGAAAAAGCTTTTTGCGATGTAAACTATAATACTTGAATTAATCCACTTGGCAAGTATTATCAGTATTTTAATTTCTCAGAGGAAAGCATCTTTTTACATCTATTTGAGTTAACATTAAAACCAACTGTTGTCATTATGCTTTTGCTCCTTGTCTTTCTGTGATCTTTAGAATTTGGAACACCCATAAATAAAACAAAGTCTTCATTCATTCTGCATCATAAAAACACTAGAGATTTAAAATGGAGGCATCAATGAACATACCAGTGAATAATATTTTACAATGCAGTTTAATAAATCCTCTGACTAGAATCACTTCTTAGCCATTTCAAAGCTCACTCCTCAAAAATTAGGCCCTGGACCTCTTCTACATTCTAATATATTCAAGGCATATCATACCATGGTTGCAACAAAATATGTCAACAGAAGAAAGCAATTGTCATTTATCAGAGCATATGAATTATTCCTGTCCTAGGTCAGCCTTAGATGGGGAGAGAGTTCAGACACAATTCACTTGGGTCTTTCAGAAAGTGAAGGGCTGGTTTGGCATGTTTTCCTGGCGAAACACAGAGAGGCAGAGATGGAGGCATCAAAAAGCATCAGCCTGACCCTTCACACTGTGAGATTCCCACAGCTGTGAAAGAGGCTGTCTCATTACGAGGCTGATTGAGGGAGTTGCTGTCCGCCTGTCAGATTTCTCCTGCATTTAACTTCTCTAACACGGGGAAATGAGCACAGAAAGATTAACTTGTTGAGTTTTCTACTTTAAGGGTATTTTTTGCACCTATTATTTAAATAAATGACAACTAAAAATATGCAAAGACCTTGCCCTGTCCTATCCTAGGAGTGAAGAAAAAGTCAACAGCTTTATGGTCCTGCTCACTCAGTGGAAAATGCTAGAAAAACTTCCCACTTGGCTATGCCATGTCCCTGGGATACGGAGTGTCTTCTTATCTTTGCTTTAAAGAAAACAGAAATGGCAGAGTAAGGAAGTGGAATTTAAAATGAAACTTAAATCTTTTAATGCCTAAGGAGAAACATTTTGAAGAGAGCATTTTTTGGGGAGAATATTCATTCACTATGTAACCTTAAAGTTTGAATTTTATTTATCATAATTAAAGAAACAGTTCATCCAATTATAGCAATAATTAAAATAAAATTTTCTATACATTTCATTAATATTTAGTGATTATTAATTATTTAATACTTGTATTCTTTAGTTATTGATCAAATAATGCTAGATTTATTGAGAACTCTCTGGGCTAAGCCCCTAATATATATTATCTGAATTAAACCTCTAGACTTATGAGGTAGAATTTAAGGGCTAATATGTGTAATGTGCTTAAAACAGTGCTTGGCACATAGCAAGCACTCAATAAACATTAGCTATCCTAAAAATTATTATTCTCTTTGCCCAGTCTTAGAGGGATCAATAATTTGTCTCATTAGTGGAGAACTAGGATATGAGCCAGGCTTTCTGAGCCCAAAGCCCCCATCAGGTAGTGCTGTATTGCAAGGTGGTAAAATTACATAATTTTGCATCCTCGGCTTCTACTGAATCCTGGTCTGTGCATTTATCCATCTCTCCCTCAGGGCCCTGGTCTGGGTGTTGGGAGGTTAAGTCCTAGTCTTGACCCTACTGTCTGTGAGCTCTTGTCCCCTACTAGCTCCCAGCCTCAGTTTGCCCTTTGTAAACAATTAGATCACGTGATCTGAAGGCCCCTTCTACACAGAACATCATATAATTCTCCCCTTCCCTCTTCCTTTCACTTCTTCTGCCTCTCCTTTTCCTAAATATATTAAGAGCCAAATAAGCGAAGAGAATAAAAATGCAGGCTTCAATAAACCACTTAGCATCATATATTAAGCAATTTTAACCCGTGAACAGCTTTTGGTTTAATGGTTTAGACAAACCATTACAAAAAGAGGAATGCTGGAAAGAATATGTGTTTGAGAATTTAATGATTTTGAATTTATGAATATAGTCCCCCTGCTGAGAGAGTCACTTTCTGAGGTAGGGAAAAGAGAGAAACTCACCAGGCTCTCAATGGTTCATTGATTTATCACTATTTTTAGTTGCAAGTTCACTTCTTTCAGAGGAAGAGCTAATAATGTACGTGCCGTGTGTTTACAAGTTTGAAACAATAGACATATTTTAGCTTAAAATTAACATTTAAACATTAACATTTGTCCTAAAAAATGAAGAAAGATCCTTTTGTTCTATTTACAGTTACTTTCCCTTTTATAGAGAGAACCAAGTTGCAGGAATTTAACGTTGATATGGAATGGGGAGGGTGAAATAGACTCTTAGTAACCTGGACACAGCCCTAGATATTGCTGAGCAATGCCTTAAAATTAAAAAAAAAAAAAGTAATTTAGATTGGAGAAGACAGTACCTTGTGGTTAGTCACAGAGGTTTGGGGGCAGAACTGAAATTCTACCCCATCTCATCACTTACTGAGTGAACTTGGGCAAGTCATTGAACTTCCGTGGGACTTAGTTTTTGCATCTGTTGCAGAAGGACAATTAAAGCCACTTCAGAAAGTTGCTCCAAGGCTCAAATAAGAAAATGTTTGCAAGGGGCTAACTTCTTAATAGAGCAGGCGACGGATACGTGATAGCTATTATTATGAGAATGCTGTAAAATTTAGACAATATGTTTCCCTTCTTAACGTTTTCTTGATCTTTGCACAATATATGACAATATCTCTTTATTATTTGTGATGCACAATTCTTATTTTTCTCCTCCTGCTTCT